CATATCAACTCATTTTTGTGTTATCTCTTATCAAACAGTTTTAAAACGTTTGAATAATTTTTATGTATTATTGAATTTTTCTCATCTCAAATAAATAGCACATAATTTTCATTTAAATGTAATTTTGGATTTTTTATTTTTTTTATTCGTGATAAGTCTGATTTCAAGTCTAATAAGTTTTAACCAAAATTTTTTTCTCATTTATTTACGTTATATCTAAACTATTAACAAATATTTATACGATAAACTAGTTGCCATTAAAACAAATTTTATGAAAATCATTTATGAAATAAAAACTCATTTTTATAAAACCATGAAATAATATTTTGTTTGCTAATTGCTAAGACTTATAAATAATATTTACCCAAAATGTTATATTCAGTCCTTTTTCTTTTTTCCTATTGAATTGAAATTTAATGATCTGAATCTTAAGGAAAAAAATTATTTCATATATAAAAATATGTGGAGAATTGTAGTAAACATTAAGTTAACTGAAAGCACTTTTCGACGCACGAAATCCGAGTCGAAAGCAATTTAGAGGAAAAGATAAAAACCCCACTTTTAAGAGAAAGAGTTTGATTTGGTTTTGAGAGAGAGAGAGAGAGAGAGAGAGAGAGAGAGAGAGAGAGAATTAGAGGCAAACTTCATAAAACATCAGTCATTTCCCATTTTTTGTGTTCCGCTTAACATTCAGAACAGAATTCATCGCTATTTCTCTGTTAGAGTAATGTTTGCTATGAATGCAAAGAAAACATAAGAATATTCTTCGCAAAAAATTAGGACATTTTGCTTATGTAAACCCAAAGATTGATTCCGTTATATAAGACTGTTTTTGTTATAATATTATATTCAGCGCAAAAAGTGTTCAATTTCTTACACTGTTATTATGAATACGTTTTCATTTAAAGTTATATCTCATCCAAAACATAACTGTTTAGTTTTACACATTACAGTATACAAACGTTTCATTAGTATATCAATGCATTTAATCATATTTACTAAACTAGTATAATATAAAAATATAAGTATATTTAGAGATAAATTGAGTTATGCTATATAAACGTTTACTGTGTCATGATCTCAATTATAATAGATATGTTAAGTTAACTCAATAAGACCTTTATAGTTATTATGTAAAATTATGATGGTTCATTCAATTTTACGATAAAATTAGCTCTTATTATGATTTATTTGGCAAAAGTGTTTTGATGGCAAAGTGTGCCGTAATTGCATGTCTTCTCAAATATCTTAATTCATCGCATTATCTAATGTTGTGTTTTAAAAAAGTTTACTTTCTTTTCCTTATTTATATAGAGGTTTACATTCATTCCGTCACTTGTTTTAAATTTCTTCTATAAATCCTAATCAATGACATGAGAGACAAGAAAAGCAACAAAAATTGAATACTTTGTTTGGTAGACATAAAGGGCGAGTAAGAGAGAGAGAGAGAGAGAGAGAGAGATGGCTGTTAGACAAAAGGGATAGAGTTGGGGAACGGCTGTTAAGAAATGGAGTATAAAGTGACGGAACAAAAGCTAATTGACATAAGAAGTGAAGTTTTTTCGAGTGGAAGAGAGATTGAATCGATTGTATGATAAATGAGTTTATTTTGTGATTTAAAATAACTGTCTCTTATATCGGGATTTTTGAACTCCAGAAACAATAGCATTCGCCTCTAAAACAGCCGTTTTGTTAGTAATTAAATTAAGCGAAAGTCGCGCACAGATTAGGAGTTTCAAAGTCGTCGGCGACTAATGACATCAATTTTATTGCCATTGAAAGCTAATTACGAGATTAAATGCATTTTTAAAACTAAGTTACTCTGCGGGAGTGATTGCCGTGTAAACTGAATCCGAGACTAACAGTGGGTTAACTTGTTTTTAATTTCCACTCAAATACTATGGTATTAGTTGTATATTTCACTTGAAATTGCTGTTCAAAACCTTTAACATTCACCCAAAATAAAGAATAAAAGAAAAAGCAATCGTTTTATATCTGAAACCTATTACCAGAGAGAGAGAGAGAGAGAGAGAGAGAGAGAGAGAGAGAGAGAAACCAAAACAACTAAAAAACTTTTTATCAAAATACTAAAGAATATAAAAACGGGTGAAAAATGATTACAACAGCGGATGAAGTGTTTGAAAGGAATTGGAAAATACAAAAGCGAGTGGAGAACAAAACAACTAAAAAACTTTTTATCAAAATAATAATGCCTTTAATTTTATTTTAACGAATGTCTGACACTCTCGTTGACTGTCTATCTCCTTATCTCACCATTTCTTAGATACAAATCACTACGCTATCGGTGTCCATATCTCTATCGGCATATGTGGCCCTATTTTGTTTGTTTTCGCCCAAAATCTATATCATAATCTTTCACCCGGACAAAAACGTCAGGAAACTGACCATGAATTCAGCCACCTATAAGAAAGCGCCGACCACCAGCACTACATGCCCGACCACTTCTGCCAATCACGGTATATATCATATTATAATCTCATATCTTGTACTCAAAACTCATCGAGACTTTCATTTATTATTATATAACACAACCAAACACTCTGTCTATCATTTGTTTCAACACTTGCATCGATTCCTATAGACTTTCTAAATTGATTGTATCCACTGTTTAGCCATACATTTCGTGTGATATTGTTTGCACTTTGATTCATATATTTGATTCACTGTATATTTTTGAGTTTCATTTTCATTCTCCACTCGCTTTTGTATTTTCCAATTCCTTTCAAACACTTCATCCGCTGTTGTAATCATTTTTCACCCGTTTTTATATTCTTTAGGTCTTTCTTTTGCTATAAGTTTTTTGTTATCTCTCTTTTCACTCACTTTCTTATTAATAATTATTATTTATTCAATGCGAAAGGCATGCAAACTTTTTTGTGTTTATTTTGCACACATTTTCTCACATCCCTTCATCTCATAGCCGACTCTATTATGATCTAATTGTCTGCTATTTATTAAATTAGCTATCATTTTGTTCATATTCTCCATAATATATCGCAACAAAAATAGCGCACATTTTTCATGAAATTATGTTTCAATCGATTTATAATAACTTAATTATTCTTGACTTTAACCGCAATTCTGTTTCACATTGTCGGCGAACAGGCGGCACATCTGTAGAGCACGTGAAGCTGACGGTCGCCTCGCAGGACAGGGATAAGGGCGACAAAGTAGGCCCTCATCATCACCAGCACCTACTCCAACAGCACCACCACATCCAACCCCCGGTACTGGAAGAGGAGGCGAAGGAGGATAGTTTGGCGTCCCTTTAGTTTTCTGTGAATATTACGTGCGTTTAGAGACAAACAAAAATCAAAAACTAATCATTCATTTCATAGTTAATGAACAAAAAACTCACTCAACAGTCGAAAGAAGATGTTATGACAAGACTTTTATTAAGTTTGCATATTTTAATACAGTTTTCGTTGGTTTTTGTGCGCTTTTGATATGATTTTTGAAAACGAGATTTCTTTTTTCAATTCAAACTTCTGTGCGAAATTGAAAGAGAAATGTGTTTTTCAGAGCCAAAAGTGTGTCTAAAGTCAAGCCCAATATGTTCAGTGTTTTTATTGAAACCAATAACGAGCTTAACTCTATAATAATATAGTTATGTATCTATTGATATATTGAAAGAGAAATGTGTTTTTCAGAGCCAAAAGTGTGTCTAAAGTCAAGCCCAATATGTTCAGTGTTTTTATTGAAACCAATAACGAGCTTAACTCTATAATAATATAGTTATGTATCTATTGATATACATTAAATGTGCCGTTAATTTGAATATTGAGTCCAAATATATAGCGAAATGAAGCGGAAATAAGAGGAAATATCAGATAACAAACGATATGTGACTTCTGTTTTCAAACATTGATTTCAAATATGAATTATATTCCGGGTTTCAATAAAATTCAAAAAACATTGAAATGTGAAACTCGTAAATAAATTGTGTATCAAAACGTTTAGTACATACGGTGTAAAGTTTATAATTAGTTAACAAATTATTCGCAAAATTATAATTTTAATGTAAAAAATACATTTAAAACAAATGTGGAGGGTCAACTTTTTTGGTCTATGAGAGCAAAAAAGTTGCAAACATTTTATAAATAATTGTAAATAATAGTCACGTATTTGGTAAACAAAATATTGTGTAAACATTTTCTTCTCATTTCAATTCTTGACATTTGTTTTGGGTTTTTATTGTCAAACTCATCGCTCATTATAAAGAATTGCCTAAAAGTGCCCATTAATTCATTTTTACATTACAAACAAAACTTAATTATTTGTACACTGATTGTGAACATAATTTTTATCATTTGTGTTTAACTCATTTGTTTCGGAGGCTATTCACTCAATATACATATAATTCACGTATAATTAAAAAACATACACTAGTTATAACTCAAAACAGCTCTGATTTTTGTTCACAAAAAATCAGAGGCTATTAAACATTAGATAAATCTAGATATGATGTACTGTATATATACATGTAATGAGAAAAAAGTAATTTAATTTTTAATAAGCATTTTACATAAGATATCTAAATATTTGATAATTTTATGGAATATTCGTGCGGAATAGCCCCCGGAAATAATAAGTAAAAAACTTTTCTTTTTTGTAAAATACATGAATATATTGATTGCACTCAAAACTATACATATAGAGAAAAATGGGAAATGAAAACTCTTGTATATATATTATGTGAATATAACTGTATATTTGAACTTATTATCCAAACTATGATCGAGTCATCGGAAACATAATAATAACAAACTTCTCTCAAGTCTTAAGTCTTTTCAATGAAAAAATTGATGGAAAATATAAGTTTCTATTTGTAAAATAGTGTTCTAATTGTTTTAGTGATCAGGCACACATTGTATGTATAGTTGATAATATTTCAATTGAAAGTGAAATAACTTAACAGCGCTTTATAGGACCAAAAACATGAACTCAAATAGAGATTTTAATTATTAGCCAAAAGTATGTGAAAACACACATAAACATTAAAACTACACGACAAGCAAATAAAACATACAAATACATACAATTTGTACAAAAACGGCATTTTTCTCAAACATTTAATAGAGTGTCCATTAAATGCTTTTGTAAACATAGGTATCAAATGCGAGCGAAAATAAGTATTTTAGAAAAAACTGAATGAATTTGAAAAGAAATTCTTATTTTTATATTTTTAGTTTCAAACTAATCATGCTACATTTATTTCTATTTTCCTATTTGTAGTAATACGACAACATATATCTACCAATTTTGAGAGAGAAATGCATTTATTATGCGATTCACACACCAGTGACAAGACATATATTAATAAAATTGTTGACCCTCTCATCCCTATCCCTATCCACATCCCTATCCCTTTCATCCGTATTCTAATTCATTCGCTAAGTTTTCTCTAATACTGGAAAAAATGCTCTTTTTATTGATCCCTTTCTCTCTCGCAATATATACAGTAATATACAGTATATTGCGGAAAGTATTGGCAGTAAATTTGGGGCTCAAATACTCGAATATTTTCATTGCTAGAGAGAAAGGGATGCAAGAAAAAAGTTGCCGGAGATTAATGTCTATATATTTCTGTTGGTTAAGAGATATATTGCACACAACATACAGACAGACAGATCATCAACACAAACGCTACAATATATTTATATACCAAAACACACAACAAATATCTACCATCTCTTATAACTTATAACTAATGTTGAGATAATAATCTGTTAAATATTTAACAACTATTTCTGTTTTGTTTTCGATCGCAAATATATTAGTGATAGTCTTAAAGAAATCTCACAATAATACTAATGATAACTAATTTGCTGCACTTTATTATCGTTATTATTATATTCAGTGAATGTTTGATACGATTGTATAATAATGAATTAATTTACTTTTAAATATATAGTTATCATTATGATTATTATGTTTAACCATATATTATATATGAATTGATTCTGTCTTTATTCGACATTTAATTTGTTATTTTCTGTGATATTATATAACATAATATATACGGTATCTAAATATTATAAATCATTTGATTGGCGATTGAATTGGAAATACCGTTCAATCACTAAGTGAAAAATGTTATCCAAAAGCAAACATATAAACAAATGTATTACAACACACGATTAGACATTGAAATGTAACAAATGTGTTGAGAAAAAACTCTGTATTATTAATAATAAGGAATATAATAATTTAATAATAGATTTAATTTAATAACAATAAAAAAAATAATAATTCAATTCACAAATATACGGAGAAAACTACACAAAACTTTTCAAGAAAAACGTATTCTTTGATTATATAAAATGAAAAACAAGACAAAAAGAGACATTTCTTTCTTATTTAACATTAGATTCTTTAGTTTGTAATAAAAAATGAGTAGAAAAATGAGAACAAAATTTTTATTGTATTATTTCAATAGAAAAAATATAACGTAAAATGAATAAAGAAATGTTGAATCAATTGGTTATAATTCATATCAAGAAATACATTACTATTATATGACGGCAAAGAAAAAGAAAAAACTTCGAGATATAAAACAAATTTCAAGTATTAAAGCAATGGTAAAATAAATAAAAGTTATTATTTGTGTAGTTTTATGACTAAAATGTATTTGGATTTTTATGCGCTATCAATATCGATATAATAATATTATTAAAAGCACTACAAATAATAAGATTTTTTTGTTTAAAAGTCTTAACCTCAAGGAATATACCATTGAACGCAATATTTTGATTTTAAATTACCAACATTTGTCTGTATTACCAAATTCTGTCGCAATCCCCTCCCCCTCCCTCCATGTCTCCCTAAAAATGTATTTTCTTATTATGTTTGTCTGTCATAACAGTTAAGGTTTTGTTTGAGACCTCAATTTGCGATCATTGGATATGTTTTTGCACTAAAATGCTGAATGAGTTGTGCATTGAATTCAATATAAAGTGCATTATTATTGGCGAACTCAGAGAAAAAGAGAAATTACTTTTCAATGATCTCTCGTAATATAGAGGTTTGGATGTCATTTCATGTCTAATACTTTTTTGAATAAGTATTTGAATTTTTATTTCTTATTCGAGGAGAAAGGAAATTATATCATATTTGCGATGAAATTACAGTCAAATAAAAAGAGTTGTGCGAAGAGTGTCCCCACTCTTGAGTGATGGCAATCATATTGTGATGACTGTTGGACTGGTTTTGGGATATTTTACTTTCATATTGTTGTCCGCAGGGACTGTTTGATTGACGTTAAGTCGATTGAACATAAACCAAAATATAGACTCTCTCTCTCTCTCTCTCTCTCTCTCTC